ACCTCGGCGCCTCTCCGCGAGTCGCGCCACGCGAGGGACCGGCACCACACGATCAGATTGCAGCGCTCGCCGGAGACGATCGTGTCCGAGCCGTGGCGGCGGCTGCCGAGGTGGACCACGCACCCGCCGATGCGATGCGCGAAGGTGTGGCTGTGCTTCCGGTGGTCCGGGCGGCCGAGCTCGCCGCAGAAGACCAGCCCGGAGCCCTCGAAGCCGCGGCGCCCGAGGCAGCAGTTGAACGTCACGTCCGAGTCGTCCGTGTGCGGCGCGAGGTGCTTGTCGCCGCCCGCCGCGTCGTAGCGCACGACGAAGCTGTGGTGCGCGTCGAAGTCCGCCGCCGGGTCGCCGCCGGCGCGGCCGCCGTAGAGCGCGGACGCGAGGGGTTGCAATACGAAACGCTGGAGCGTCGTGATCAGGTGCTCGAAGCCGACGTCGTTGACGACGACGCCGTACTTGTTCATGGAGTTGGGCCGGCTCACGGGCAGCCCCGTGGCCTCGAAGGCGTCGACGTCCGCGAGGAGCGCGGCCGCGAAGGACTCCTCGAACAGGTCGACGGCGAAGAGCTCCGCGTCGAGGGGCTCGCAGAGCTCACGAAGTGGAGTTTTGGCGGAGGAGTCGCTCCCCGCGGCACGCAACTGCTCCGCCTCGAGGAGCGCGGCGACGAGCGCCGGCGGCAGCGCGCCGCGCGGCAACGCGCCCGACTCGAGCGCCGCGCGCAGGCCGTCCGCGCGGAAGGCGGTTTGTGCGGTTGAAGGCAGGAGTTTTGCCAGCCCGAGGGAAGCAAATTTGTCGATCACGCCGAGCCGCCCGGCGTGCACGGCCGCGCTCATGGCGAAGAACGGGTGCGCGCCCGGCTCGAGCGCGTCCGCTAGTGCGGTCAAGACCGTGCCCAGCTCGAAGGGGGAGGAGCTTTTTTTGAGCAGAAACTTGTAGAACTCGACGCCGCAGCGCCGCATGGCCACGGGGTCGCCGCGGTCCGACAGGGCCACGCCCGTGAAGAGCCACGACAGCGCGTAGGTCCGGCAGCGGATCTTGGGCGGGGATGAGAGGTAGGGGGCGTTGAAGACGAGCCGGAACGCGAGCGGGTGGCCGGCGTAGGGGCCTGCGCGTGCTACTATCAACGCGTCGACCGCGAAGGGTGCAGCTGGGGGGGTTTGGCTGCGGCGTCTGGCCACCGCGTCGGCTCCCGCGTTGACGGACACGCAGGGTTGCGGGGGGGTGAGCGCGACGAGCCGGGCTTTGAGGGGTGAGCTTGGTTGTGTTGCGGAGGAGGAGACGGAGTGGACCGCCGCGGTTAGTGCTTTGAGGAGCTGCGCGTCGACGGAGGAGGAGTGGTTTTCCGCCGCCGCGTAAAAGGGCTCGGCGATGGCCGCCACGACGCCGCGCACGGCGGCGTCCGACGGCAGCATGCTCCGCAGCTGCTTCATCGCCGCGATGCGCGCCATGACCAGGCGCGCGTCGAGCTGCGCTGCCATAGTCGTCCTTGTTTTACGGGGCTGCCATCGTGTCAAATGGTGCACCTTGAAGACATTGAACTTCAAGCCTTCCGGGAATGGCGGGCTGCTTTGCTGCTCCATAACGCCATGGGCGCCAGCGCGAGCGTGGACCAGTTGCAGGTCATATACAGCGATGTGGAGCGCGCCGTGCCGCGGACTCCACGAGGGAGCCGCGACGTCGAGCATTGCGATCGAGATGGACTCACGGACGTGATCTCCCGCGCGGAGCAGGACGTCAAAGCGTTCTACGATGCGGCGTGGGAAAGCTGCGCGGCGGACGATCTGCTCGTGGCGACCGCGGCGCTTCAGGATGAGTTCTCGCCCGCGGACCCGCCGCGGTGCGCGCTCCCCGAGGGGGCGACCGTCGAGGAGCTCATTGCGCTGGCCAGCGTGCGCGCCGAGGCGATGCACGCGGCGCTCGAGCAGCCCGTCAAGGAGTCCGGCGGCGCCTACTACCAGGGCCCGCGCAAGGGAGAGGACCGCATCAAGGAGAAGGCCGAGGACGACTACGGCGGCGACGTCGCGCGAGTCGTCGACGTCGAGCGCGCGACCGGCGTCTACGGCACGGCGAACGACTTCAACGCGGCGATCTCGAAGCTACGCGCCGCGGCGCGCGGCGAGGAGCTGAGAATTCTACGGTGCAAAGACAATCTGCGGGGCGGGACGTCGGGCTACCGCGACGTCAAGCTCAACGTGGATGTGGACGGCTTCGTCGGCGAGCTGCAGCTCACGTTCCAGAGCATCAAGGAGATCAAGGACTCGGGCGCGCATCAGGTCTACGAAGTCAGTCGGGTCCTCGCGGCGAGCGGCGACGACGACGCGCTCGCGCGGGCCCTCGACGGCCCGGACCTCGAGAGCGAGCAGATGCTGACGCTGTCGCGCGCGGACGGGGGGAGCGTCATGGACGCCTGCGGCTCCGTCGCGCTTTTGGAGGCGGCGCTGGCGAAGGCGCTGCCGCCCGGATGCTGCGTCGCCAACGTCTACCTCTGGCGGAGCCGCGCGCGCGTGCGGCTCGGCATCGACGACGTCGCGGCCATGGCGGCGCTGCGCGACGAGATCCTTCTGGGGAGCGGCTTTGAGGAGAAGCTGAACGGGGCGTTGCCGCGCTGGCGCCGCCCTGCGACGGATGCAGAGTTGCCTGGGCTTGGCTTCGAGAAGCTCGTGACGACATCCGGCCGCGAGTTCTACGTCCACGAGACCGAGGCCCAGTTCGAGCGGCCGACGGTCCCTGTGCCAGCGAGCCGGCGGCTGGCGACGGACGAGGAGCTACCAGGACCCGGGTATGAGGAACTCGCGGCCGCCCAGTTTGAGCGGCCGACGGTCCGTGTGCCAGCGACAAGGCGGTTGGTGACAGACGAAGAGCTGCCTAAATACGGCTTTGCGAGGTTTGCGACGTCATCCGGCCGCGAGTTCTACGTAGGCAGCGAGTTCTCGAAGAAGGCGTCGGGCAACATTCGACAGGGACCCGTCGCTCACGGGTGGATCATGTACGAGGACGAGGAGGGACGAGCCTACTACCACCACGCCGACAGCGGCAAGACGACGAGGGACAAGCCACCCGGTTGTATCGCCAACGTCGAGAACGAGGCCCAGTTCGCGCGGCCGACGGTCCCGGTGCCGGCGAGCAGGCGGCCGGCGACGGACGAGGAGCTACCAGGACTCGGTTTTGAGAGGCTCGTGGCAGCCTCCAAGTTCGAGGTCTACATGCGCAAGAAGGCGTCGAGCGAGCGACCTCGACGGATCGGACCCGTCGCTCCGGGCTGGATCATGTACGAGGACGAGGAGGGACGAGCCTACTACCACCACGCCGACAGCGGCAAGACGACGATGGACAAGCCACCCGGTTGCATCGCCAACGTCGAGAACGAGACGCAGTTCGCGCGGCCGACGGTCCCGGTGCAAGCGAGCAGGCGGCCGGCGACGGACGAGGAGCTGCCAGGACTCGGTTTTGAGAAGCTCGTGGCAGATGGCAGATATGATGTCTACGTGCCCGCGAACGAGGCCCAGTTCAAGCGGAGCGATAACGGCCTCGCCGGCTCGCTCGGCGAGGAGCCCACGAGCGTTCACGTCGGCGTCCGTTGCGACGGCTGCGACATGGACCCCATCCGCGGCCTCCGCTTCAAGTGCACCGTGCGCCCAAACTACGACCTCTGCGGCCGCTGCGACCAGCGGGACACCGAGACGCACCCGAAGCTCAAGATGCCAGCGAGCAGGCGACTGGCGACGGACGAGGAGCTGCAAGGGCTCGGCTACGAGAAGGACGACCTCGTCGATGGCCGGGAGTTCTACCGCGACGCGAAGCAGGAGCTATGGGAGCGACCGCTCGTCACCGGGGACGTCGTGCCGCTCCGCTGCGACCGCGGCGCCTTTCTCGAGTGCTACGCGAGCAGCATGATGCGCTTTACCAAGCTCACGCGGCACCAGCGCGAGAAGCTCGGCGACGTGCGCGCGGCCCAGTACGCGCTGCTCCTGGCGCCCGCGGGCGGCGGCAAGACGTTCGTGGCGATCCAGCGCGCGCACGAGGTCCTCCACGCGAACCAGATGGTGCTCTTTGTCTCGAAGAACTGCGCGCTGGCGCTCTTCGTGGTCAAGTGGCTCGTCGTCGCGTCCCGGACGTCGGCGCAGCGCGTCGCCGACCGCGTCCGCGTGCTCGTCGCGCCCTTTGAGCGCGGCCCGCTCGAGATCCGCGTCGAAGAGGCGGACGGGCGGCAGCGCCTGGCCATCGGCGGCCGCGTCGAGGAGGCGGAGCGCTACGGCCTCGCGGTCGTGGACGAGGCGCACCACCTCGCCGGCGACGTCGGCGCGCGCGAGGCGGTTCGCGGCGTTTCCGCCCACCGCTTCCTCTTCCTCGGCGACGCCTCGCAGGCGACGTCGGCCATGGATGGGGCCGGGCTGGTGCGATCGATCGCGAACGTGCCCGAGTCGGCCGAGGTCGCGACGGTCGCGCTCGAGGAGGTCGTCCGCTCGACGAAGCGCATCGTCGCGGGCGCCGCGGCCTTCCAGCTCGAGGCCGGGAGAAAGGCGGCGACGCGGGGCCACTCGGCGTCCGACGGCCCGCCGCTCGAGGCGCGGCTCTTCGACGGCGACGACGTCGAGCGCTACGCGCAGGAGGTGGACGCGGCGATCGAGTCCGTCCGACGCCAGCTCCACGGCATGGACCTCGACGACCGCGTCGCGGTCGTCTGCCCCGACGCCGACTTTTGCGAGGAGCTTCGTGTGGCGCTCGCCAAGCGGCTCGCGCGGAGCTTCGAGATCGTCGACGCGGCGACGGCGAGCGCGACGCTGCCGCGCGGCCGCGACGAGTGCGAGGGGTCGCCGGCGTGGCTCGTCGTCGACACCGTCGACAACATCGACGGCCTCGAGCGGCTCGTCGTCGTCTGCGCCGGGCTGGACCACGCCATCTCCGTCGACGACGCGACGGCCCTCGAGACGCGGTCGCGGCTGTACCGGGCGATGACGCGCGCGCAGCTGGCCGTCGCGGTGGTGAACCACCGCGTGCCCGGCGGCTGGCTCGAGTTCCTCGGGCGGCTGGAGCTGGGTGGGGCCTTCGACGAGGAGCGCGCGAAGCGCGACCGCGCGGAGACGGCGGCGGACGACGTCGTCGCGTCGTGCGCGGCGGACGAGGGCGGCGACGGCGTTCGCGAGGTGCCCGACGCCGGCGGCGACGGCGTTCGCGCGGTGCCCGACGCCGGCGGCAAGGGTGCGGTCTTGGAGCGAGAAGAGGACTCGAGCGCGGCGGAGCGACCGGCGGTCGGCGACGGCGGTGGGGACGTCGCGGAGACGGTCGAGCGGGAGAGCCCCGCGGCGGCGGCGCCAAAGGTGAGCCAGTCGATCTGGGACACGAGCAGCTGCGTGTCCGTGGATGCCGAGGAGCTGCGATTCATGCCGTTTTCCATGGTCGTGGACCTCTCAAAGCTGGCCGAGCTCGCGACGCTGGCCGGGCATTCGCGGACGGTGTGGCGCGGCGTCTTCTCTGCTGTTTTTTTGTGTTATCTTTCTGGCTTTTAGGTCCGGGGCGTCGCCGTCTTCCCCGACGGCCGGCGCGTCGTCTCCGGGTCGTGGGACATCAAGGTCTGGGACGCGGCCACGGGCGAGTGCGTCGCGACGCTGGATGGGCTTTCGAGGGCGGTGTGGCGCGGCGTCTTCTCTGCTGTTTTTCTTGTGTGTGTGTGATCTCTCTTGGCTTTTAGGTCAACTGCGTCGCCGTCTTCCCCGACGGCCGGCGCGTCGTCTCCGGGTCGGGCGACAAGACGGTCAAGGTCTGGGACGCGGCCACGGGCGAGTGCGTCGCGACGCTGGCCGGGCATTCGGATGAGGTGTGGCGCGGCGTCTTCTCTGCTGTTTTTCTTGTGTGTGATCTTTCTGGCTTTTAGGTCTGGTGCGTCGCCGTCTTCCCCGACGGCCGGCGCGTCGTCTCCGGGTCGCACGACAAGACGGTCAAGGTGTGGGACGCGGCCACGGGCGAGTGCGTCGCGACGCTGGCCGGGCATTCGGATCTGGTGTGGCGCGGCGTCTTTTCTTGTTTTTCTTGTGTGTGTGTGATCTTTCTGGCTTTTAGGTTAACGGCGTCGCTGTCTTCCCCGACGGCCGGCGCGTCGTCTCCGGGTCGAGCGACAAGACGGTCAAGGTGTGGGACGTGGCCACGGGCGAGTGCGTCGCGACGCTGGCCGAGCATTCGAATTACGTGTGATGCGGCGTCTTTTCTTGTTTTCGTGTGTGTGTGTGATCTTCCCTGTCTTTTAGGTCTGGAGCGTCGCCGTCTTCCCCGACGGCCGGCGCGTCGTCTCCGGGTCGTGGGACAACATGGTCAAGGTGTGGGACGCGGCCACGGGCGAGTGCGTCGCGACGCTGGCCGGGCATTCGGGGAACGTGTGGCGCGGCGTCTTCTCTACTGTTTTCTTGTGTGTTATTTTTTGTCTTTCAGGTCATCGGCGTCGCCGTCTTCCCCGACGGCCGGCGCGTCGTCTCCGGGTCGGTCGACCAAACGGTCAAGGTCTGGGACGCGGCCACGGGCGAGTGCGTCGCGACGCTGGAAGGGCATCGGGGGCCGGTGTGGCGCGGCGTCTTCTCTGCTGTTTTTCTTGTTGTGTGTTATCTTCCTGGCTTTTAGGTCCGGTGCGTCGCCGTCTTCCCGGACGGCCGGCGCGTCGTCTCCGGGTCGGAGGACCACA